CAGAAAACGGGGTTACAATAAAAACACTAATATATACACAAATCTCTCTAGTATAATCATAAAGTCTCCACATACAAAGATAATATAAGCTCAACCACAATCATGCACTTATGATCAAGAGTAGTAATAGCAGTGATATATAACCATCCACCAAATAACAGAAGACTCAGGCAAGAGTATGACAGAAACAACATGGCAGTTAACAATATAATTGAGAAGGCAGTCTCTGCTGCCTGTAGAATTCGATTCCACCTGCTCATCATGGGGGACTTCAATCACGGAAGGATAGACTGGGAGAACAAGGAACTGCATAGAGGAGAGGAATCATGGAGAACTAAAGTACTGGAGGTGGCAACAAAAAACTTTTTAAGTCAGCATGTCAGGAAACTCACAAGAATGAGGGGAAATAATGAACCAACGAGACTCGACCTAGTCTTCGCTCTGAACGACTCCGAAATAGAGAAATCGACTTTGAGGCCCCAATAGGAATGAGCGATCACAGTGTACTTACGTTTGAGTATCTGGTCGAAGAAGGGTTAAAGTACTAGAGGAAGAGAACTGAAAACAAAAGGCTAGCATTCTGTAAGGGAATGTGTGAGGAGATAAGAAAATTCCTAATGGATATAACATGGGAAACAGAGCTCAGGGGAAAGACGACCCAAGACGTGATGGAATACATCACACAGAAGTGTAAGAAGGCAGCAGACAAATTTATCTCGGTCCAAAAGAAAAAAAATAAATGCAGATGAGAAACCCGTGGTTTAATCAGAGATGTAAGCTAGCAAAGTAAGTAAGTAAAAGAGCGTGGAGAAACTGTAGAAATAACAGGACACTTGAGAGCAGAGAAGGATACCAGAGAGCCGGGAATGAATACGTTAGGGTGAAAAGAGAGAGGCAGAAAGATAATACAAAAAGGACATAGGAAGCAAGGTAAAGACTCAACATAAATTGCTGCACAGCTACATCAGGAGAAAAACAACAGTGAAGGAGCAGGTAATGAAACTGAAGATAGGGGCAGACAGATTCACTACAAACGACAAGGAAGTGTATGAGGAACTCAATAAGAAGTTCTAGGAAGTCTTCACATTAGTGCAAGAAGAAGTTCCAGAGATAAGAGAAGGAATAGTTAACCAGGCACCACTAGGGGAGTTTGGGATTACCAGTGGGAATGTAAGGAAGCTTTTGCTAGAGTTGGATGTGAAAAAACTATAGGCCCAGATGGAATCTCCCCATGGATACTAAAGGAAAGAACAGAAGCATTGTGCCTGCCACTCGCCATGGTGTATAACAAATCACTGGTAACAGGTGAACTGCCAAAAATTTGTGAGACGGCAAATGTAGTCCCGATATACTAGAAGGGGGGATAGAGGAGGCACTGAACTACAAGACAGTGTCCCTAACATGCATAGAAGATTGTGCGAAATAAGCTAAGGTAACAACTGGAGCGAAGAAACTTTGTAACACAACATCAACATGGTTTCAGGGATGGCAAGTCATGCCTCACAGGATTAATTGAATTATACGACCAGGCAACAAGAATCAGGCTAGAGAGGGGTGGGCAGATTGCATATTTTTGGATTGCCAGAAAGCCTTTGACACAATACCACACCAGACACTAGTGCAAAAACTAGAGATGCAGGCAGGAGTCAAAGGAAAGGTACTCCATTTGATAAGGGAGTACCTAAGTAACAGAAGCAGCGAGTCACTGTGAGGGGTGAGGCCTCAGACTGACGAGGCGTTATCAGTGGAGTCCCGCAGGGACTCCACTGGTAACGTATAGGTCCTTGGACCTATACTGTTTCTGATATGATCTGAGATTTCTGAGATGTAATTGATTTCCCAGAGGGTATAGAATCCTTCCACTCATTGTTTGCTGATGATGCAAAAATTATGAAGAGGATTAAGACGGAGAAAGATAGGATGAGGTTACAAGATAATCAAGACAAATTGAATGACTGGTCCAACAAATGGCTACTAAAGTTCAACCCGAGTAAATGGAAGGTAATGAAACTAGGCAGTGGAAACAGGAGGCCAGGCACAGGATGCAGAATGGGAGATGAAGTCCTTCATGAAACGGACAGAGAGAAAGATCTAGGAGTTTATATATCACACCAAACCTGTCTCCTGAAGCCCACATAAAAATATAACATCTGCGGCATATGCAGGGCTGGTTAGCATCAGAACTGCCTTCAGGAACCTGTGTAACGAATCATTCAGAACCTTGTATACCACATATGTAAGACCAATCCTGGATTATGCGGCCCCAGCATGGAGCCCGTACCTTGTCAAGCACAAGACGAAGCTGGAAAAAGTTCAGACGTATGCCACTAGGCTAGTCCCAGAGCTAAGAGCCATGAATTACGAGGACAGGCTGCATGAAATGCACCTCACGACAGTGGAAGACAGAAGAGTAAGCGGAGACATGATCACTACCTTCAAAATTCTCAGAGGAATATGCAAGAGTAGATAAAGATAAACTGTTTAACAAGGGTGGTACACGAACAAAGGGACACAGGTGGAAACTGAGTACTCAAATGAGCCACAGGGATGTTAGAAAGAATTTTTTCAGTGTCAGAGTAGTTAACATATGGAATGCATTTTGCAGTGATGTGGTGGAGGCTGACTCCATACACGGTTTCAAATGTAGATATGATAGAGCCCAGTGGGCTCAGGAATCTGTACACCAGTTGATTGACAGTTGGGAGGTGGGGCCAAAGAGCCAGAGCTCAACCCCCCCGCAAGCACAACTAGTTGTGTACAGTTAGGTGAGTACTTAAGCATCATCTCGTGACTTGCTCAGAATGATGGCAGTCTCGTGCACACGGCTTATCTATGGAATGAAACGCTGTGAGTGCTAGTGGCTTTACAAGAATGTCAAACTTCAAGTCTCTCTACTCTAATAAGCCCAATGTACTTTCTTGTATATAAATAAATAAATAAAATAAATAAATAAATAAATAAATAAATAAATAAATAAATAAATAAATAAATAAATAAATAAACAAATAAATAAATAAATCAAAGCACAATAGTAAGAGTTTCCCCACTCTACAGGGGAATATGGCAATTTCACTCCAACAAGTGCAAACACGTTAAAAAGACCAATATCCTAATTACATGTTAAAAGTTAATTTAATGAGCCAGTGCCACAGAGCGATCACAGGCCCATGTCTTCACACCGCGGCTCCCAGTAACAACTGGCTCCAAAACGGCTCGCTTTCACCTGCATGCGGCCAGCATTCGAATTGATGCGTTCAAACGTCTAGGCCTAGTAATTTCTATACTTGGCCATCTTTCCAAAGCTAACCTTCATTTACTTAGAAACTTTTAAGCAAAATCAAACTGACCCTTACTGGGACAACATCTAATTAAATGAATGTGTACTAACTAATTACTTTGTATCAAGACATAGGTCTTCCCACAGGCCTGGCAGGTAGGGCTGGCGTTCTTGTGTCTGTTGCCACATGCACACAGGCTGAGAGTAACAATACTGCTAAACAGGACTACTGACTGAATATACCATCACAGGTGATAGGTAAATGTATAACAGCTTACCTAAATGTAAGCTTAAATTCTAAAGCTTAAACTAAAATTCTGACATACACAAGAATTACAGTAACTGGCATGAAGTGATCTGGCCGAAGACCGCATGTCCGCCATGTGTGTGTGTGTGGTGAGTATCTCTTCCCCTCGGAAGAGGGGAAGAGATACTCGGAAAGGTTAGGAAACTTTCAATTAACGTTTTTCATAACGTTCTGAAACGTTATGTGAATTTCCTGCCCTCCTAATCTACCAGAGGACCCTTAACTTACTGTTGTTGAAAAAATTCCCAAATTTATTTTAATTTTTTTTCATTTTCAAATTACGTCCACTTTCGGCCATACAGGTAAACTGCCAGAAGCAACGTTATTTTTTAAGAGGACAGGCTGGTCACAGTGTCCGAACTGAGGGGCACGAGGAAAGACTATGGGAAATAAACCTCACGTTGCTGGAAGACAGGAGAGGGAGGAGGGACATGATCACCACATACAAGATTCTCAAAGGAATTGATAGGGAAGACAAAGACATTTTATTTAACACAAGGGGTACACACACTTGGGGAAAAAAGTGGAAATTGAGTGCCCAAATGAGCCATAAAGACATTAGAAAGAAATTGTTAGTGTCAGAGCAGTTAATAAATGGAATGCTTCAGGAAGTGATGTGGTTATCTTGAGATGATTTCGGGGCTTAGTGTCCCCGCGGCTCGGTCCCTCGACCAGGCCTCCTGTTTGTTACACCCCCAAAGGAAGCAGCCCGTAGCAGCTGTCTAATTCGCAGGGACCTATTTACTGCTAGATAACAGGGACATCAGGGTGAAAGAAACATTTTGCCCATTGGCATCTGCCTCCACCAGGAATCGAACCCGGAACCTTTGGACTACGAATCCGAAGCACTGTTCACCCAGCTGTCAGGCGCCCTAAGGTGATAGAGGCAGACTTCATACACAGTTTTAAGTGTAGATATGATAGAGCCCAATAGGCTCAGGAACCTGTACACTTGTCGATTGACGGTTGAGAGGCGGGACCAAAGAGCCGAACCTCAATCCCCGCGGCAAGCACAACTAGGTGAGTACAGACAGACGGACAGACAAAACAAAAACATGCATCATCTTCTACATGTATTGCTTTGTATGTTATGGCGTGAGTAACTAGACGTGAGCACCTTAAGCAGTGTGAGCACTAGCAGAACGTCAGTATCAGTGTTGCTGCAGGTTGGTGTACACGGAGGCCACGCTGATGGAGACCTTCCGCTTCAGGGGCGCGGCACCACTCACCGTGCCTCACAAGGCCCTCAGAGACACCACACTGCAG